ATTTTTGGTCAAGCACCTTTCAAACTTTTTTTCGTAAAAAAACAAAGTAGACATAGCCAAAAATAAATCAGAAGATGAGCAATGAAAATCTCTTTCTAATAGACAAAACTGTTTTGAAAAATCTTTTATAGTGGGGGAGAAATGAATGGACAAAATCAACGCGCATTCCTTTCCGAACAACCTAATATAAAGTGTTTGCGGAGTTTTTAAGAGCCCTTTGAACTTCTGAATTATCTTTTACAACACAAGCCTTATAGTGCAGTGCAGCTCGATGACTTCTGAAATATTCATCATTTATTGAATTCTACTGAAATTCTATCAATTACGGGACTTGAACCACGAGAGCTCCGACTGCTCGGATTTTCCTAAAAAGTCTCGAATTATATTTTTTCTCAGTTAAGGGGTTATATTGTCGATACTGTTAATATGTTGCAGGCAAACTCTTGGGCAAGCAAGGCAAGTCGCCAAGCCTCGCGTCCAAAGTCGCAAGGGAAAAGTTTTGAGACTTTTTCGGGTCATGTTAGCTTATCCCGCCAGTTTCTCGAAGCTAGCTCATCCGTATCATTTAGAAGGCAAAACATTGGGAACTCAGATCACGCCAAATGGAAATATAAATATGAAAGTTTCCTATGTGAAAACCGCCAAACTTCTAAACCCAGTGCATATAATTTTTACCAACAAGATGGCAGTACACATTTCATCGTATCTCCAGATCCGATGAAATGTTATTGTCGAGTGTGTACTGCCTTCTTGTTTGTGATAATCGTAATTTGGATTAAATTATCTTCTGAAAAAATTCAAAGAGTGGTTATGTGAAAAAGTGGATACAATGCGTTGGATAAAATGGATCGGAACCTGATACTGGATCTTTCTTATACTATTGGGTAGGTCAGGAGGAGTCAGGGAAGTAACCAATCGCATCCATACTCAGAGACACGTTCAATTTCACGGGCACTGTTCATAATAATATTCATTTGTATGATTTATTACAGCATCTTTACATACATAAAGGGTCCTTTTTGACCCGTTCGCGCTCGCTTACCGAATGTTAGTGCCGCACTGGAAATGAGTATTTTGCCTTTATCAACTGCGAATTTCAGGGAAGTAACCAATCGCATCCATACTCAGAGACACGTTCAATTTCACGGGCACTGTTCATAATAATATTCATTTGTATGATTCATTACAGCATCTTTACATACATAAAGGGTCCTTTTTGACCCGTTCGCGCTCACTTACCGAATGTTAGTGCCGCACTGGAAATGAGTATTTTGCCTTTATCAACTGCGAATTTGACCAATCTCCAAAACCGGTGGGAGAGGCATTAGATTGATAGTACTCTTTGTTTTCTTTTCTTTGCACTAACCATGTGGGTATCGAGGACTTCCACATTTTTCTTTAAACGGGTGTCGCATACATTACTGTGCTCTCTTCAACTGGTCTGTCACCTGTCACCTGCCGTCCCGTTGATCATCGACTTCCTCGAGCGGGCGCCAATGTCCGTGTCCCTGTCGCGAGCCAGAGTTTTTTAGTGAATCGTTCTCGCTTCAGGGACACGAGGCTTAGCATTCCTTTCGTTCAGCGCTTCCGTGGAGAAGTCTAACCATCTCGTTGGCGGCCGTCCGAGAATTCAGTTGACATCCCGAAATGTCCGTGTCCCTGTCGCGAGCCAGAGTTTTTTAGTGAATCGTTCTCGCTTCAGGGACACGAGGCTTAGCATTCCTTTCGTTCAGCGCTTCCGTGGAGAAGTCTAACCATCTCGTTGGCGGCCGTCCGAGAATTCAGTTGACATCCCGAAGGATCCAATCAGTGGCCGCCTTGGTCCAACGGTCATTACTGTACCGCATTACGTGTCCGGCCCACCTGATCTTCGATTTCTGGCGTAATTAGCGGCACCTGATCCTCGTTCGATGGCGGAGCTCGGAACTCCGGATTTCCTCCTGCACTTGCGCGTCTAGGGAAATTCCGAGCATCGTTCTTTCCAAAGCGCGTTGAGTAACGCTGACAGCATGCTCATCCTGCTTTCGTAGAGCCCAGATCTCTGAGGCGCACGTCAAAGCAGGAAGACAGCAATGCCAAAAAGGTGACCGGGAGGCGGATA